GAAAAATGGAGCTATTTACAAACCTTCAATACAAAAATAGAAAAGCGCCATTCAGTCTCTAAACTAAAGCGAAAGAATCGCGAAGTTTTCGCAAAGACCCGCGTCACTCGGGCGGTCAATATCAAAAGAAAATTCACGCGGAAAAATTGGCGAACGACACGCGCCATGCTTGTTTCGCAAACGCGGCCGCGCACCAGTTGGCGTCTCGCCCGTGAAAATAAACGCTTCGTCCCGACCCTTCGGCATTCCTCTGCCCGATGAACTTTCGACTGTGTGCCCGCGGAAAGTGAATCGAAAATTTTCATCTAATTCTAATGCCGCTCTCTAATTCCACGCCCCTATAAATAGAAGGCACTCCTCGGACCTTCAAGCTTCTAATTCGAGGCCCTCGGCCTGGTTCGCTTCGGAAAACCAGCGCGGACCTTTGATTCGCTCGCACGCCTCGTCCAGGATTATGGATTGCTGCACCCCGCAATTTAATCTTGCCGCGCGAAAGACGAGCGGGTATAATGCCGGAGCTCCCCGGATTAGCGTACACCCTTGCCGAGGATTCGTGTTTGCGAAGTTGTTGGCCCGACACGCCTCGGATTCTTTATTCCCCGGAGGTTTAATCATCTCCCTTGCGTCCTACGCGCTGGAAAATTCGTTACGTGCCATCGAAGAAACCGGCAGAACTTTCGACAGGATCGTTATTTGTGAATGAAACTATATTTACGGGTTCTTCGGAGATCCGAGAAGGAGGCTTTCGACTTTGGTTACGATACGTTGAGTAGTTCGTTTTGGATTAATTAGCGAAGCTTGATTTTTAACTCGGAATTGCTTCGAATATAATGTGCGTATTATCTTAATGTTATTTTGTTGTCTGAAATGTTTAGATTTTGATTCAGTGCGATGTTTTAGCTGAATCTATGGGTATTTATTGTTGAAATTCGTTTGGGGTTTTTTAAATAAATTATTTGTTTACGAGAGAAGGATGTTTCTACAGATTTGAGTAATCATTTTCTTATGTACGTAGTTTTATCATTACTATATCTGTAAATTCTCGAAAATAGGTCTATATCTCTAAATCGAAAATAGTTCTACTATATTCCAAAATCCCAAATAATCATTCTATATCCTAAAACTTTCCAAATTAATCTTACTACGTTCAAAAATTCCCAAAACAGTATAACACTTCAATTTCCGAACAATTTTTCACCGAAAGAAGATGAAATTCCTCTACATAATAAACTCCAACGTTTTTTCCCTTCTTGCTGGGGTTGTTTCCTTTCTTCGACGAAGAATCGCGCGTCGTTCTGTCAGAAACGGAGTTTTTCCTTCGCCGTGGAGGGATTTAATTTACCAAGGAGCGGCGCAATGGCGGCGGTTCGTTGCGCGAGCTTTTTCGGTGCAGGAGGGACGCCGGTTCCCGACCGTAAAACGACTTAATCGGCTTACAGACGGGCTTTAATAACTTCTACACGGGATATTAAACGGGAATCGTCGAACTTATTCCGGCGGCGTTATTGCAAGGATTGTTTGGCTGCGTGTAAATCTGTTTCCCCCTGGGAAGAAACACGATTCCCTTGGGAATCCCCGGGCCAATGGCGGACTCGCGTCGATAGGCCACTGAAATCCAACTGTAACTTAACCCCTTTGCTCTATTTCTTTCTCAACTCTGATACGGTTACTTTGTTATTGATAATTTATTGGAAAAAAACTGTCGGTATATTCTATGTTTATGTTCGCTCTTAACACATTGTTGATCACGAGTTAACTCGTGTTACTAGCATTGGCTATTTTAGTTTTTGAAGTGCAGGGCAGTGTAGAATATTGCAAAAGCGAAATGTTAAAATTTATTTAAAAGATATGCTCGAAGTTTCGTTTCAATTCATTACGTACAATAAAGATATATTGAAGCTTATTCAGATTGTTTCACTTTCGTATTTAATTATGGAATAATAACGGTTTAAATAAATAATAATAATAATATATATATATATAAAATCTAGAAAATGACAAAATAGAATATTAAACTGTATAAGTTATTCAAATTTTGAGGTGAGTTAACAAATTTCCCACTATGTACATAAAAGTAAGCAAAAGGTGGGACAGTTAACCGACGTGGTCTCGAGCCGACAATGCACGTTGACAATTGAACGGCTCGCGTGTTTTCCCGAGACACCCGGTGTGCATTCTATAATACACCTTTCACGACAGCCACCAAACTGGTTCGCGATTGTTTAAAATGTGGCGGATGAATGGGGAATCAACGCTAGTAATGCTTCCGTTATGATTTCATGAATGAGAATTATCAGCATAGCTCATTAATTCCGTGTTACGATAAAAGCAACATTCTGTTGTTTATCGCGTACCGTTTACACCGATAAGAACGTTGCTCTCTCGGATCGCTTGAAACAAATCGACACGCGTGGCGAGATAATATTTGACTGATTCCTTCGACTCGATTTCCGATGGGGAATCAAATTCCACTTGATCAACGGTTTCGGTTATTAACCCTTTGCGGACGAAGATTCTTTGAAATGTACAAAACCTTCGACAGATAAAGCTAAATTATATATCAAATGTTTAATTAATATAAAAAAAAGAGGAAATTACGCGATGATCTCTTGCTGTTCGCGTAACTCAATCATTTGTCCGCGACTTAGTCTTCCAAATATAAAAATTTCATCTCGCCGAAATGTCGACGTTCGTCCGTAAAGGGTTAAAAAAGATTCTATTGTTTGTAAACGTTTCCAACGAGGTGAACATCGTCTTTAACACTAGAACTACCGAGCACATGAACTGATTTTTGAACATTTCGTTATAAAAACTGCGAACGTGGATTTATTAAGATTCGAATTGGTCTAAATTTCAGGTTAACCCAATCGAGACCGATTGCACACCGCGTGCAATAATGATAATAATAATGAGCATTTATCAGTTATTCTAAGTAAAGTAGTCGTCGAGATAAGACTTTTTTTGAATGAATAGTATCTCTAAAGTATAGAAAAAGAAAATAAACATACTCACCAACAATAAGAAAATTGAGTTTTTATGACTATCGTCTAGAAATTTTAAAAAACTTTATTGGAAAACCCCGTGATAGAATTTCGCTCCTGGGGACCGTGTTCGAAAAAAATCGCCGTCTCAAATGGGTAGGGTATTACTCAGTTTTAGTAATTTTCTTTAGTAATCGCAAAAGAAGAAATCTAGGAATCATTTCGACCCATTCAGTAATTCTAGAGTTAAATATTAATTACAGTAAACGTTGTATTATTGAACTATGCATTGAAATCATTGAATTCTACTGATAAGAAATTTTTCTAGAACTTTAATGTTCATGGTGGTGATTCTTCACCGTAATATTAGAAACCTTGCTTCCAAGATTTTATTATCACCGTGTTAATTGGATGATTACGGAATTCTAGATTACATATTTGATCATATAATTAAATTGCGATTTCGACTATAGATGATATAAAACAAACAATTGAAAGTATGTTTGAAAATAATAAGCAGTGGCGGAATACTCGCAGAATGACTCGAGGAATAAGGAATTAATTATTTTCGTAATTAAATCGCTGCTTTGTGTTAAATATTTTCTTATTGAGAACTTTCCCAGCGTAATTACTGGCTTGGTGTGCACAGAAGAAAAGGGTTTCAGAAGAAAGAAGCCAGGGGTTGTTTTGTAACGGATGAACAAAGGTGCACAAAGGGTGTCCACTTTTCAATAATTCAACTCGGAGATTTACTGGTATTCATTGCTCCGGACAGCCAGGGAGAATTATTGATCTCTTCAGTTCTTACGTAACCAGGCTTGCTTCTTCTTTTTTCTTTTTTTTTGTTGTTTACTTTTTACTCGGCGCAGACTGTGTTTTCCTTTTACCCGTGGATTCGGGTTCTTTCATTTCCTGATCGTGCGCCTATTGAATGGAGCATCGATCGATGCTTCTACATAAGGAAATAAATGAATATTTGGCAGAACACAGTGTCTCAGAAATATTTCCATCTTCCTCTCGGGGCACGGAAGCTTTCCATTAAACTGCATTATCTGGGAGGCATGCGGCCGAATCTGTGATTCACCGTGTCTCTGATTATAACGTGGTTTATTTATAATTTCATAATTATTCGACGACAGTCATTTAATACTGATTCGATGGTAGTGATTTAATAATAATTTGATAATAATTATTTAATATCTTTTAATATGTCTTGCTTGAAGGAACATTCCTTGCAGCTTGAAACTCAGTATTTCCTGCTATGAATCACTGAACTAAATTGAAAGGGTTAACCAAAAGTAAAAAGGAATATTAAGCTCAATCCCTTGAAAATCTATGTCTCAAGTGAAATTAACAAAAAGAAACGTATTTATAAAATACTCTTGTTCAAAACCGATATAAATCCATCTTAATATATGGTAATAAAACATTTTTATTACCGAAAATGTAAAGGAACCATATCAAAATATATCAAAGTTACCATAAACTTGAATATAAGTTAACCCTTTGCACTTGAGAGCTGACTCTCACTCATCACTTAATTTCACACAGTAAAACTATAAAGTTTGATATTTAATATTATACTCCGCATAATCAATAATGCTGAAATAAAATAGCAAGAAATCTCATTAGACAATATCAGAATATTTCTAATGGAGAACTTCCGAGTGCAAAGGGTTAATATTTTATTTAAAAAACCAATACAGTACAGAATACTGGTTAGCAATATTTATAATATAAAAATGCTTTCAAATAATTATGGTTTAACCCTTTGCGGATAAAGATCCTTCGAATCATACAAAACCTTCAACATACGATGCTAAAAAAAGATTAATTAGATTATTTGTCCACGACTTAGTCTTCCAAATCTAAACATTTCATCTCACCGAAATGCCGACATTCGCCCGCAAAGGGTTAATTAAGTGAACCATAATAATTCGATTCGGTTGGGGGTCAACGTGTTAATTGCTCGATCCGAATGTAAACAAATAAATTCAACGTTCTAATAAAATGTTTCAGAAGCCGCGTCCGCGGACGTAGCCGGCAGTAAGTCGAGTAGCAAGAGCGAGTCGGCGGAGGTCTTCCACGGCGCGAAATTCTCCCCTGCGACGACGTCGACGCCGAGCGGGGCCGCGACGGCGACAGCGGCGTCGTCACCGTCCAGCGTCGACGCTAGAATGGTGGCCTCCACGCACAGCCTCGACGATCTGGGCGTGAGTCACCCGGCGAGCGCGAACGGCGACCGCCAGCAGCAGCAAGAGAAGCATGGCCACGCTTACAGGTCCGCGCAAACCGCCCAGGACAAGAGAAGCAGGCTGAGCAACGTGATAAACAACCTGAGAAAAAAGGTGCCCGACTCGAGGACCGGTGACTCGCCGAGGAAAGAGGAGGACGACAGAAACAGCGTCGAGAGGAACCTGGAAACTCTAGAAAAGTATGTGATGACGGTGCTGAACGGCGTGATAGAGGACGAAGAGGACAGCGACAAGGACACTGGCAATAAGAAGGAAGCAGAAGAAGGTCTAGAGCCAGAGAAACTGTCAGAGGATCAGGAAGATGAGGACTCGAAGGGTCCAGGAGCTAAATTCGAGCCCTCCAAGCCCAACGAGAGTAGAACAGAGACTGCTGTCCTGCTGATGGAGCAGCCTGAGCTACCTGAGACAGCCAGCAAGGAAAGCTTAGAGTACCAGACACCCGACACTGAGAGTCTGCAACGCTGCGAGGACTCTGGTTCCTTGGACAAACGTGGCGAGACGAGTCTGTCTACTGAGGAACTGAAGAGTGAGGATGAGGATCCGGCTAAGGGCTCAAAGTGTTCCAAAGAAGCAATGGCTGAGGGGTCTGAGGCTAGGAATGATTCTCCTCAGGAAGGGGAGAAGAAGGAGAACCGGTCATTGGGGACGATCATCCTGGAGAGGCTGAGCGATCATCAGGCTGAGGAGAAGGTCAACGTTGACCCTGTTGTCAAGGAGGACACCAGGGAGTTCGTGTCGGAGAACGTGGAGCTGAGGAACGTGTGCAGGGACCTGCTGAATGATCTCCTGAATGGAATCAATCAGCTGATCGACGAGAATAGCCAGGAGAAGGAGGAGAAACCCTCGGAGAGCTCGGAGGAGTCTAGGAGCACCAGAAGTCAGGATCTGGTGATGACGAGTCTTCATTGCAGCCTGCCCTTGGACAAGGTGGCTTCTGTTCTCCAGAACTGCCAGCCGAGCGAGCTGGCTGGCCCTCAGTTGCCCTCGTCCTCGACTCAGGGGGTCAAGTCCCCGTTCAAACCACCCTCGCCCACGGTCAGGCACCTCTGCCTCTATTGCGACAGGAAGTTTCTGTCTATATCGTTGAGGCAGAGGCACACCGAGAGGGTCCACCAGCAAGGCGGCGGCAGGCGGTCAGAGAGGAACTCGAGGAGACCGTCCCAGAACTGCCAGTACTGCTCCGACAAGTGTGCTGAGAGTCTGGAGGGACTGTTCCAGCACATGGTGGGCAGCCACGGGGACAAGTACCACGCCTGCGTTCAGTGCTCCACGAGGTACCCCACCAGGGAGACTCTGGTGAGCCATATGAATGAGAACCATGGGGCCAGTGTGGACAGGAACCTTCAGACTCAGGTGAGGAAATTAATCTGGTATTCAACCTGTTCTTATTAGCACATCATGTGTCAGAGAATATTTTGTCTAGCTTCCTTAATCCTTTGCACTGAGGTGACTCTGTCACTTGATTTGACGCAGTGAAATTATAAAATCCTTATATTTACTGTTGAACTTTGTATACGGCCTCGATACCTGAGATATTGGAATAGAATAGCATTGTTCTTTAGCCCCTTGACTTATAACAACGTGTCAGACTCGCGGTGAAGATTTTAAACAGAGTTTAACAAACATAAATATTACTTAATTTTTGTGAATACAAATTCAATAGTACTCTTCTGTTACGAATTATTATAGCTTAGAGAAGACGTAGATGTAGAATATGCCTAGGAATTTTGTCTTTTTTCAATAAATTTTTAATAACAAGGTAGGTGCGTCGATCATAGTTGAGAAAGAAATCGTAGATCAAGGGGTTAATGTACTTTGTCTTGTCAAAAAATGTTAAATGTGTCTAGTGACAAAATTCCGAGTACAAGGGTTAGAGATTGCACCCCAAACTACCTAGAATAAAAATATCTAACGATATCCCTTACTTGTGTATTCAGGAGAAGCTGAAGGAGACCACGCCAGTTAAAGAGCCAGTAAACCAGAGCCCCAGAGAGAAGCAAGAACCTCCAAGTTCCAAAGAGCGAAGACCAGAGGAGCCCGATCACGAGCACAGAACAGAGTCCATTCTACTGAAGCCAGCAGTCCCTGCCAAGGATGCCTTCAGCAACCCAGGCAGCCCAGAGTTCGACAGTTCGTTCTACAGCAGCGTCAGCTGCAACATCAGAGAGAATCTTCTGCATCACTTGGATGGCAAGCTGCAGAGCTCTTCCAACATAACTTCAGCGTCCTCCTTGCCAGAGTCCAAGCCTCAGCAGCAACCACAGCAGCAACCACAGCAGCAGCAGCAGCAGCAGCAGCAACAGCAGCCACAACAACAACAGCAGCAGCAGTCGTTTTATGATCACAACATCAGTCAGATCCAGTTACCTATAGACATCTCCTTGACCGCTGCCACGCCTGTGTATTCTAAGGAGTACAACGAGGACTACGAGAACTCCAGTGAATACGCTCAGAAGCCTAGCAAGAGCAACAGGTCCCACCCCAGACGCGTGTCTTTCGAGAAGTACAATTTCCCCAGGAAGTACGACGGCAAGGAACAGTGGACATGCTCCATCAAGGACCTCAGCAAGTTCGACATCTCCACGCAGCTGTCCCTCAGGAAGAAGCAACAGCTGCTGAAGGAACGCGTCACTCTGCAGAGGATATCGCAGATTCCTGTTCTCGGAGTCACCGACATCGGTCAGGACGGTACTCAAAGTACTCAGGAGTCCGAGAACTCTGAAGAAGCTGCAGCGGACAGGAAAACCGTGGAAGTGGATCAGAGTTTCCATTGTGATACCAAGAAGGAGTGCAAGCTCGACGTCTGCGAGGCAAAGTCTTCTCTGCTCACCGAGTTCACTCCCGAGTTCGGTAGTTTCCTCAGACTGCGGAAGTGGGACGAGAAAACGTCTATCGAAGCGGCGAAGAAGCAGGAAGTCGTCTACGCTGAGCTGACTGGCGAATGGTCCAGGCCGAGGATCTACATCTGCGGCGCTTGCGCTTCCAAACATGTGAGTTGATTGGGGACTCGGTGTTTGCTGTGTTCGCCGGAGTGCGAGAGGTGATGGAGAAGTTGGTAGAGTTTGATTGGCATTAGTTGAGATTGATGTTTGCGGCTGGTATATTGTTGTTTGACGGAGCTAGGGATCGGTCGATGCGACCTACTGCGTGCAGAGGAATATGTTAACCCTTTGCACTTGACAGTTTTTTTAGTAGATCTTCAACGTTTTCTGATGAGACATGGACGACATTTTTGGAATTTAATTTACTGAGAAATAATGCATAAACTGAGAAACGAAGGTGTTTTATTCAATATTTAACCCTTTGAACTCTGTAGGCTCCAATATTGCACCAGGAATAATAGATATTTGAATGAATCTTAAAGAAACTACCCTACAATTATTAAATTTTTCACACATCCAAATTTTGCACTAACAAGGAAAATAAAAGATCTAAGAGGTGTTATAGCATTTTTCATTTTCGCTAGGGATACTATGAAAATTAGTTGCAGTTGCTGATAGATTACAAAACCATCTGGAGTGCTAAGGGTTAACACATTGATGCATTACACAAAATTTAATGTTAAATATCTAATTTTATAGCTTTGATGTATCAAATGAAATGGTGAGAGTCACCCCTCGAGTACAAAGAGTTAATTTAATTATTTTATGAGAGGGATAGCTTATAGTTCTTATCGTTGGGAAGCTTGGAAATTTGATGTTGGCAGAGTTGAACTGAGTTTGGTCGCTGCTTTATAAAATACCTTGGAGTAATGAATATATTGCACAGATGAATCACAAGCTGTTGAGAGATGAAGTAAATTACACGTGTTAGCCGTCATTCGCTTCGTTATCTGCTCACTGTGTAATCAATGTCATTCCCACATTTTATTCCTGGGATTTCAACGTGTTTTGCAACACAGATGAGAGTAAGTTTAATGTCACTGAATAATATTAGTATTTATGGGAAATCTGAATGTTTTCCAATTGTTCGGTAATTCTTTTATCGGTTTCTTGAAATACGTTGGAGCCTTCTGAACTTTGAGATATGAAGGTGATCGGTTAATTTGTAAATCGCATGCATATTTTAAGAGCCACGAGGAAATTAATTAATTTGAGTCGTGTAATCAGAGTCGTTGCATTCGGGGTATTCATAATAACAGAGGATAATGATCAATCGAGATTCATTTGATGCCAGCTAGTATAATTGTCAATGAATAGCAGGAGACATCCTTTCTCTCGCCTCGATTTCGATCGATAGTTGCCAATCAAATGGTTGATTAATTAACTAATCGCTTGTTACTGTCAGTGGCGTCGTCGGGCGGAGCGGAGGGAGATCGGTTATTTTAAATGAACCTTTCCAATCAGATTCATTTCCTGTCTTGTTCGTTCGTTTCATTTGCTTGTTGGCGAAGTACCATCTTCCATTTAAAAGAAACTTAAGGAGAAAGAATATGAAATAATTGATTTAAAAATTGTTGATAGAAACATCACGTAGAAATGTCTATGAGTTCAAGGAACGTTCATAACTGGGATTAGAAAAAGATCAAACGATCATTCGTGAAAAATAATGAAGAGTGCAGATAATATAAATATTATTCCGAGAACTGTGACACGCAATTTCCTGATTATAAATGAGTGTTTAAATTATTAGATAAGCGGACAGAGATACTGCACAATTTATTATTGACTGTCGCGCTTTGTGTCTACAGTATGTCAGAGAGCAAATAGTTCTCTGATAAAGTATTTAGTTCACTCTGCCAGTAGTCACTGATATACCTTGCTATGTACTTTTAAACTTTCATTGACGTCGGTCGTGCATTTCTCTTTGGATTACACTCGTGACTACGCTTAATGTGTACACACAACCGGGTAATTTTAGCGTTGCCTGATAATTCATCAATTATAAATCTTAGATGCATTCTTTACAGTAAATGTTTACCTCAGTCAATCAACCCATTGAAATTTATCTTTATTGTGGATATTAAAGAGAATGTATCATCCAACTCCACATGAAATGCTTCCGTTATCAACCCCAAATACATCCCACTAGAGCTTCAGAATAAAATTAAATAATTCCTCATAACCGTAGAATAAAATATTCATTCTAATTGCCATAAAACAATGCTGCTGTAGAAAATATTTTCCAAAATATCCCAAAATATTCTGACCACTGCACAATTTTCTAGCACTGATCAGCCTGATCATTGATTCCAGGTCACCTTGAGGGAAATGGAGGAGCACAAAGCCTCGTTCCATCCAAACGTCTGGTGCTCGCATTTCGAGTTCTCCGGTGACCAAAGGGAGCTGTACAAACACCTGTTCCTGCCAGGGAAGGACATGCCCACCGCGAAGGCGAAAACCGCCATCTTAATAGAGAAGGTCTGCACCAAGTGCTCGAGGAACTGCACCTCGTTGCCTGAGCTGCACAGGCACATGCTGGAGTGCGGTGGCGATCAGGCATGGTTATTGGGTCTGTTCGGAAATGGGAAGAAGAAATGCAAGTGGAGGCCGTTCGGCAGCCGCAGCAGGAGGAGAAGGCAGCGAGGGATGAAGAGGAACATACAGAACTCGCAGACACCAAGGGTGACCACCCCCAAAGAGAAGCAACCGACTGGTCCCAGAGTCAGACCCAGTGACCGTAAGCATCTTCCTCTGGAATCTGTGCTTCCAGGTTGAGTTAATTATTCTTTCTTAACCCTTTCACATTATACTCAATCCGATTGAGAAAGTAATTGATAAATTGTTGATAAATATTCATGTATTCTATTGCAGCTACAATGTGAGAGGGTTAACTTGCGGGAAGGTCGTTTAAGCTTGAGCAGTTGGATAGTTTCTGCGAAGATTAGGTTAAATTCTGTGGAAGAAAGTATTGAATAATAGTAAACCCTTTGTACTTGACGGTATTCCTCGTCAGAAATATTCATTGGCTTTTAATGAAGTATAATATTAGTTGGAGGTATTGGGGGAAATGATCTTGTACAAGGAATTATTTTGTCATATGCAAAATTTGACATTGATTTTTAAATTTTATAAGTTTGCTGTTTTGGCTATTTGTTGCAAAGGGGTATTAGGTTGGAGTATTATGTAAAATTTGTTTATACTTAGAGCAATGGCTGATATTGAAGCTTGAGTATTAGAAGCATATTTCTATGTGGCTTAGGAGAAGTTGCTCGCACGCTGGTAAATAAAAAAAGTGTGCAAAAATATGAATATTCGAGGCCGTGGAATTTATTGCACCCTGCCGGAGGAACGTTTAATTACTGCGCTAATTAAAACTTTGTTTCATTTAGTTGATTCACTTATCCAACAACTTCCCTTTAGCCGCGCAATAATTGCGCGAGCCGGCCTGGGTGCGATAACGCGAAACTTATTAATCATATCCGGATTAATATTAATTATCGTGTCCCATAATTAACGTGTTAATTTTTTAAAAAATGTTGAGGCCACAGGGCAGTGTCGAGCTGTTTCTTTCAGAAAGTAAAGAGGGATTGTAGATTAAATAGTTTATAATATTATGAGACTGTTTAATTTACTATACTTATAGTTTACATATTACTTGAATGATTACTATTACTTGAACCTCTAATTATTCTTGATTAATTGTAATAACATTCTAAATAATCTAATTTGAATTACTTAATGTAATAGACTGTTGCCGAATTTATAAATATTAAAATGCTAATCACATGGGGAATCGAAGATTTGTTTTAACTAATTTGTTTATCCAAATTTGGCAGAATTGAAAGGTATTATGGTGAACGGGATATTATACCTGGTTACTAAACACGTGTAATTTTGTGAAGATATATATCTTTCATTAATTATGCGATTCATTGCAAGCATAGTTTCACGTGAAGCTCACTTACTAATTAGTAATTGCAGTATCATTACCATTTGAAATCTCTCCGCACATAATAGCAGTACAGCGTTGTATTAATTTACGGTTCTGTTGCTTTATTTTCTAGGTGAGAGTATTCAGAAAATGTTGGCCAATTTACCGCCAAAAAGGGCCACCAGGAAGGTGATGCAGGACAGTGCACTCAGAACACAGGGTAGACTCCGTAATGTAAGTTATGAATACACAAGCAATTCTAATTACATCTGGCTAATCTAATACAATCTTCCCTGTGAACATTTGTTTAACATTAATGTTAAGTAATATACAGTGCAACGTGCTTTAAATTACCTTTGTATGGTGTTGAATAACATTGGTGCAAAATAACAAACAAGAGTAGAATTTCAGGCAAGAGGATAAATGATGTTTCTTAAATTATCCCCATACATAGGAACTACTAATTAAGGAAATTAATTAGACTGCTCCATGTACTTGCAGTTATAATTCATTCTACATCACTTTTGCTGCCAGATAGGGAATATTATAACGTATGGAAATTTGATGATATTCATCTTTGTAATTGTTATTAAATTCGTATAATTCTCATTAACTTCAAAGTCTCAACGTTCAAAAGTGTCAAAGTTCTTCTCAACGATTCAAACTATCAGAATCTCAAAGTTCCAACATTTAAAAATTCAGAAACTTCAAAGAATTTGAAAATTTGAAACTTCCCAAATTCTAAACCTCCAACGTCTCAAAATTTCAAACTTCCCAAATTCTAAACTCCCATCTCAAAATTTCAAACCACTCAAATTCTACTATCTCAACGTGTCAATGTTCCAAAATTTCGGAATCAGCTCACGAAAAGACCCACAGAAGCGAAGCGAACCACGCATCGACGACGAAAGGGTCCACCGTAGTCGCGGGGTTCCCCGGCGACGAAAAACGGGGAAGCCGTGGCTAGGTTTCGCCGGGCGCCAAGAAATCAGTGGCAAAACAAGGGAGACGAGATCAGACCGGGCGCCGAAAGTTTACGGGTTCGAAATTAGGTAAACGAGAGGCGGCAGGCCGCAGTTTAGCCGATGACCCGAATCCCCGGGGCCGAGTCGCACGAAAAAGATGAAACTCGATAATGATAAGGCAATAACGCAGGGACCGGCTCCGGCTGGACGACACGGATATAAGTGGAGTATTGATTACCTAACACGGCCGTACGTGCACGTACACACGTATACAGGGTGCGTCGGAGCAACACGTACAAGCGGACACAGGCTGATTCCCCATGGGAAAATAAGAAAGAAATTATACAAGATCTGTTGATTATCACTAGCTTTACGAAACGCGTCACTTTCACGCATATGGAATCTGATAAACATTATTTACTAAATGTTTACGTCGATTTTGATCGATGCAATTACAAGAATATGTATCGCAAATGTCTACTTTAAAACCGCTAATTTCTAAGATTTAAACGAATGAATATTCATTTTGCTAGGAACAACAGAATAAACCACAATAAACGTCCGTGAACCTAGTGTTATAATCCTTTGATCTGAGTTTTCAGGAAATCGAGTTCGAAGATCTGCTGTTTCCATATGGAGTCAATACGTTAACACGTTCGTTAGCAGCGCTTATTTCGGTGACAGTTTCCTCAATTATATTTTCAATAAATATAAAAGTATTCAAAATTGAAAATGAACGAGTCGATTTCTTAAATATGTTTATAATTTTTAAGAATGTATATAGGATTCGTTTGGTTTTCATTGTGTAAAATACAGGATTACGGTCGTCAAATATGTGACGCTGGTAGCGAACGTGTTAAGCCATGTCAGTCACTGATGACTGACGCTTCTGAATTACTCGAAAGTTGCACGCAAGGAAAGCTATGGCCGATGAAAATGTGTAATGACGTAACTGAAATGACGATAGTGTAAGGAAAGGATTGTAACGGTTAATAATTAGTCATTGTTCCTGGTTTTCTTTGTTAATGAAGAACGCTACGAAGAACGGTTGAGATTCGCGTGGCACTTAACGTGTTAAGTAGCTGATAGATAAGAGACACGATTAGATAAAAGTTTAATGAAATGTGATTGAAAATTTAGAATGTGATTAAGGTTTTTATTAACGAGGTTTAGTAAGATGTCAGTATATCCTTGTGTTGTTTTGAATTTGATGATTAATGAGAGTTGTGTTGTACAAATAAAATGGAGGCAGCAAATTTTGAAACTTTTCTTGGAAATGATGCCACGGATAAATTTTGTTTTGTATTTTCCTTTGTTGTTTTATAGGGAATCGCTACACGATTGCACGTGTAATTTAGACACACCCTGTATATGAGAAGGGAAACATGATATGTGGATCGGCCGCGCGCACATTCGCACAGGACATGCCACGTAGTTACACGGACAAGATGGTTCTCTTCCTTCCCTTTGTTAACACGTTGCGTGTCTGTTAATTTTCTGAAAAATGGATCAGTAATTTTTAATGAGATCAATGTGTACCGCTATGGACGAGGAGGAGGCTGTAGTGTTTTATGAATATTTTATTATAAACTCTGTTATTGTTCAATTACGTTTAATTGAATTAGTTTGATCTTTATATCGGACTTGTCACATTTATTTGTTTAATTATTGAATTGTGGATTATTCTTTGCGAATCATTATAATTTCTTTAATAATTCTTTTTGATAAATGACGAGTATTCTAAGACAAAGGGTTAATATATTTCAGATTTGAGTAAAATCTAGTATTTCTTGAATGAGTGCAATAATAAATTACACGAATAAATTAATAAATGTATTTATATGAAAATAAGATTCTCCTTTCTGATACGCAACGTGTTCTCAGCAGGATGGAAGTAATTCAAGTGGTTGACTTATGTAGAATGCTTTTAATTTGTAAAACTGTAAGAAAATATACAAATCCGATTTATTGAAGCTGTCAAAGTTGAGAGGAGAGCCCTTAAGCAGGTTTAGAAGCACCTTTTATATAGAAATATAAAATACTCGACACCCCGTGGAGAAATGCTGATAAAGAAACTTCAAAGCATTCTCAAAATTAAGAGTGTCCCTTCAATCGAAAAATGAGAGAAAGATAAAAATAATTAAACCGATAAACTAATACTTACCACATCTATAATTACTTCTACGATAATTCCCAGGAATAGTAGCAATTAAAACTGAATAAATTCTCTTGATAAGAAAGTGAAGAGTTCAGTCCTCTCCGATTGAAGGTAATTTACTAATTAAAACTCAAAAGGAGCTGCTCCACGAGTAGCTCTAAAACCTCCAAATATTCCCCACCACAATACACAATCTAAACTAAATTACAAGTCATCGTGATTGCCACAGAAACAAAAAAGTAAACTCCCCACGAAAATCGGTGACCGCCGAAAGAAAGCAACGATAAACGAAAGAGTCTTAAGAAGTTCACCTATAGAATTACCAAAAGTAATCATCCAATTATCCGTGTGCAAAATAATTCAGGGAATCTACCGTAATTAGGGTGTCCAGCGATCAGCGAAAGAAAAGCCCGAAGGTTTTGACACGGCGTTTCAGCGAAGTCGAACGATACTGCGAAGCTACCAAGCAACTAGTCCCACGAAGGCTTTACCTATCTGTACAGGTGCAAACCAGGTCGAGGCCTCGAATGGTCGGCGACAATTCCACTGCGTCGCGGATGTCCCGGAACAAGGCGGTGCTGAGGAACAAGCTGTTGAAGAACGCGAAGTCGATACAGCGCAACCGTTGCCGGATCGACAACATATCCGCGGTGATCGAGAGTGTGGTGAGGAACTTCATCTCTGAGGAGAAGAGGTCCGACGACGAGAGGAATGACGCCGCGAGAGCGGGCGTCGAAGAGGATGCCAAAGAGAAGAGCGAAGGGGACGCGAAGTCGGAAACGCCGGGAGAAACGGCGGGCGCCAGGACGAAGATGGTGAGAGGGCCCAGAATCCTGAGCAAGAAGAGGAACATCAAAATGAAAGCAGGTATCAAGAGCATGAATCAGGTGAGGAAGCCAGGTAGCTTGAAGGCGAGAGCCAAGGGAGCGATGAAGAATCTTCCCGAGGCAAAACCGGACTCCGCGGAGCCGGCGAAACCCTTGAAGAGCGTCAAACCGGCGGCCAAAGTCAGCGACAAGGAGGCAGAGTCGGATATCGGTTCCCCGGAGTCGTCGAAGTCGTCGGGTTCGCCTAAAGTCAAGTCGTCTGTCCAGACCACTCCGAAAAAGAAGAGGCCGGTGGACCCGGTGGCCTCTCTGAACGCCTCGATCAAGGCCAAGTCGCAGCTCAGGAGCCAGGACGGTAAGTTCGCCAGGAATCCCAACAAAAGTCCTCAGAAATCTCCAGAAGTGAAGCCTTCAGTTCGCCAGATGATCAAGGGGAGGATCGAAGCTAGTCCAGAGGCAGTGACGAGACCTAAGCTGAGGGTGCCTAAGATCAGGGGCAACGACCATGTGCCGAAGAGGATCACCAGACTGTCCTCGGACAGCGACAAGATGCCAACTCTGGAGCCTGCTGTTCAGATATCCTCTAGCAACGAGGAAGATGCTCAGGCCTCGGTGAACGACCTGCCGATTCTGTCGCCGGCTACTTCATCGTCCAGCACTGAGAAGGTATTACGCGGCAAGGGCACGGTTAATAAGAACCTGGAGGACAAGGAGAGCCCTAGGAAAGAGGAGGAAATCGAAGAGCCAGAGGAGAAGGATGTAGCCAGCGAGCTGCCTGAGGAAGACGCGAAGCAGGCTAAGACTAGGAGGCAGAAAGGCGATGCTAAGGGTCTGCTTAGCAAGGATGACGCCAAGGAGAAGCCGAAGGTGACAGGGAAGGAGAAGTTCAAGAGAAAGTTCGGTCCAGGTAGGAACTCGAATGCCGAAGAGAAAAAGAGCCCGGTGATAGGGAAGGATAAGGATCCGAAGGTCAAAACGCTGGAGACTAGGAGCAACTCGAGGATGAAGTTCGACAAGCTGATCGACGTGGACGACCAGATTAAGATCCAGAACGTACCGTTCGAAGTGAAGAAGCTGATAGGATCGGACAACAAGGAGGACCTGCTGACCAAGCTGGTGCTGACGTCCAGGGCCAGCAGTTCTAAGCGTTGCTTGAGGCAGCCCGTGTCCAAGGCGAAGGAGGAGCAAGGTAAAACTAAATTTCTGAGAGATTCGGACCCGGAGAAGCTGGTCCCTGATTCGGAATGTGTTTCAGACGCGTCTGGGAGGAAGGAAAAGCCGGATGCCAGGAGGAAGTCGCTGAGGAGCACGGAGAAGAAGCTGGAGAAGGACAAGGTGTCCAAGAGCGATCAGGCGGACTCGGAAGAGGCGAGCAAGGTCGCGAATGCGGTGAACGAGGTGAAGACAGCCATCAGGGGAAGAAGAAACAGCAGCTCGGAGGATAGGATCAGGGCAGATGCTGAAGAAGCCACTGAGAGCGAAAGCACTGGCAACAAGAGGCAGACGAGAGGTTCGCTAGTGAACAGCGACAGCGATCAGCAGACCAAGGAGACTGTAGAGCTAAATGACATGTCCCTGAAGAAGAATACGTCCCTTGGAAAAAGACGGGGTCGGATCAAATCCAGCAACGACAGCTCCGAGAAAAAGAATTTTGAGGTTTCTCAGGCAAGAAGCGAGGAAGCCGAGAAATGCACGGAGACCGTTGCCAAGGACAGTTGCTCGGAGAACAGTGAAGGGAGTGCTGATAAAACAGCGTCATTGTCGAAGGAGAGTAGTCTTAGCAAGAACAAGCAAGAAGACCTGGAAGCTCTGACCAAGATCGTCCAGTTAGTGGACGACCTTCGAGAGCCAGGTGGTACGGACAACGCGAAGCAACATCCAAATCATCGGTTGCAGCTGGAGACTGCCGGATCCATGGACAGCGGCAAGGAGAACTCCTTGGAGACCGTGGTTACCACTCAGAAGTTGAAAGTCGGCAGACCTAGGAAGTCCTGGGGGTCCAAGCGAGAGAGAGCCTCGAAGAGGTCGTTGAACAACGTGATCGGTATCCTCACAGAGGGCATGAACATTCCCGTGGAAACCCAGCAGAGCGTTGTTCTGACCGTTCAGACGAGCTTGAACACGGATGGATCTCTTCAGGCAGAAGAGCAGCAACCCGAAGACGACGGGTCTAGGACCTTGAGTCTCGAGAAAAACGAGAAAACTGAGAACAGTGCGGATCTTGGTAAACCGGCCGACGAACCAGGCACCTGTGTTCAGAACCCTGAAGAGAAACAGTTGCAGGCTGATCCCCAGGTTCCTGAGAAGGAGTTGAACGTGGAGGTTCCTTCGGCTAAGACTCAGCAGTCTGATTCCAGTGCCAGTGACAACAGAGAGCCAGCTAATGACATCATTCTAGACCTGTCGAGAAGGAAGCAGAAAGGCAAAGGGTCTTTCTTGGAGAAAATAGTCTCTAAGATAGCCAAGCAGAAGGATGCTCTGCTGGAAGGGGAAGTTGGCTCCTTGTTGGACACAGCTGCTGATGAGTTGACCAGCATCTTGGACGAGATGGGCCCTGGCCTGCCAGAGTCCGCGGAGAATTCAGGGAACAAGAGGAACGCTGTTAACAAAAAGAGGATTCAAAGTAGCAAGCGGCAGAAAGAGGTGAAGGTCGCTGATAAGAACTGCGAGATGACTCCTGACTCGAAGGATGCCAACGAGGGAAAGGAGAAAGGAGTAATCGACGAAGAATTTGGTAGCAGTAGAAAAGAAGCGACAGAATCCTCGGTTGGAAAGGCTGCTTCAGATCAAAATGAACCTGAATCTTCCATGGAGACTTCGGACAAAGGGTTGGAGCTGGAGTCCATGAAGAGCGAGGACAATACTGCACCGAAAATCGAGGAGCCAGTTCCTGAGGACCCAGGAATGGTTGTTGAAGAAGCCAAGTCAATTCCGAACGGGGTTCTCAGCGAATGTGTTCCAGAATCTGGTACGAATGCTTCGTTAGAGTCATCCGCGCCAAAACAAGAGGACGAGTCGCCGAAGAAGGAAGAGGAGCCAGCGACGAAGGTGAACAGGAAATCGAAGAAACGATCGCTGGAGAGTAACTCACCAAAGAAGAACAAGAGGAAGTCTGTCGAGCCAGCGAATGATGCTGAAGAGAACGCGATATCCGAGGAGCTGCATCTAGCCAATATCTTGAAACTGATCTACAAATCAAAGGAAGTGCCTTCTACCAAAGATAACGTTGAGAACGATCCCCTTGCTGAGAAAGTTGTACCCGGTAAGAGGAAAACACTGAACGACGATTCTCGAGTCGAAGATTCGTCGAGCATTGAAGCAACTGATGATGTACAAATGGTTAAGGATCCCGCTGATGGTGTAAAGAAGTTCAAACCGGAAAGTGAAACGAACGTTGAGAAGCAAGCAGTGAGTGAAGCATCGATAGGAGAGACTGAAAACTGCACGCAGAGCAAGGAAGAAGCTCCAGTGAACGAGGGTCAAGAGGAAGCCTCTGTGCTGCAGACGGCAGGGAAAAGAAAGTCCTCCGCTGAAAGCGAACCGGAAATAGAGTCCCCAATTAGACGTTCATCAAAGAGGAGATCGCTTGAGGAAGGAAAGGCGAGAGATGAAGAGACAGCGTCTAAAGCTGTGTCAGAGGTGACTGAGACCACCAGAAGAAGATCCCTACGAGCAAGATGTAATATTCTGTCGAATACTGATGAACAAATGTCGAAGGAAAGTCGAGATGATGTTAGCAGCAATAGTATGGCAGTGGATGATGCTGAAGAGGTGAAAGATCCGTTGGAAAAAGTTGATCCGCTGGTGGAAGCTGTACCATCTGCAGCAAAGGAAACAGCTGGCGAAGAAGCGAAAGAAGTAATCGGTGACACGGCTAAAGAGGAGAACAATGATAATGTTGTACCGGAAATTGATCTGATGGAATCGCAGAAGACGATTACTCCCCCACCGAAAGTCTTGAAGAAACGTGGTCGTAAAAAGAAACTGGTGGTTACTGAACCTGTAGCTGTCGAAGAAAGCACTGCGTCTAAAGTGAAGTCTACGGAGATGGAAGCAGCTGCTCTGAATCAGGTTCCCAGCAGGAAGTCTCTAAGGGTGAACAGAAGCACCGAGGAGGTCGAAGATCAGTGCAAGAACTCCGGTGAATCGCAGGTTGCTTCCTCGAGTTTGGATAACTTTAAAGTCCCAGAAGTGACAGAGGTGCTGCAGCTCACCAAGAAAAGAACGTACAAGAAGAAGTCGACGCTCGACGAACACATGGAGACTCAAAGTAGTCTTTCAGCTTCGGAGTCTGAAGCAGGCAACGCTGAAAGCATGGAGGTAAGCAAGCTAATGACTGAGAAAGAGGAGGAATCCGATAATTCGTCTCAAAAAGATCAACCCGAAGGTCGAAGACGGTATTCCAAAGCCTCCAGTAGACACCAGACCTCTCTGGAGAGGTCTAGCTCCTCGGGATCCATTGATTTGATTCAGAAAAGCAGAACAAGGTCTTCGAAGCGCAAGCAGTTGTCGTCCGATGATCTGTCAGGGCAGGAGAGTCTGAATCATCGACCAGAAAGCACGGATAACTTGTCGGAGAGCTCTTGCGTCAGCGAGTCGAGTTACTTCCGGAAGAAACGATTCTCCAAGAAGAAGAAAGGTTTCGGGGAGCCCCCGGAGGATGTTCAGACAGACACTTCGGTCACTGATTCTGAATCGGCGGACACTCACAAGAACACTGATAGGAGACAGAGCTTGAAAAGGCGAGCCAAGAAGAATATATCCTTCTTCGAGGACTTTGAAGATTTCGACATACCCATGGACATTCGGGACTGTTGGGAACAGGAAGACAGTCTGAGGGATATAAGGGACATTCAGCAGGTTGTGGAGGAGAAAGTGGTCCCTGCGAATGAGAAGGTTGACGATGAAGTAATACCAGATATCGTTACTGACGAGAAAGAGAAGGAAGGAAAAGTAGCAGAGAAGGAAGAAGCTACGATAGAGACTGCAGAATCTGTAGAACCTGTGGAGTCTATGGAACCTGTAGAGTCCGTAAAACTTATGGAGCCTGTAAAACCTATAGAGTCTGTAGAACCTATAGAATCTGTAGAGCCTATAGAGTCTGTAGAGCCTATAGAGTCTGTAGAGCCTATAGAGTCTGTAGAGCCTATAGAGTCTGTGGAACCTGTGGAACCCATGGAATCTATAGAACCTGTGGAACCTATGGAATCAGTAGAACCTGTGGAACCTATGGAATCTGTAGAACCTGTGGAACCTATGGAATCTGTAGAACCTGTGGAACCTATGGAATCTGTAGAACCTGTAGAATCTGAAAAGTCTGTCGAAGAAGAAGAGGAAGACGAGGAAGACGAAGAGGTAAAGGATGCGGAGAAGACGGATGCTAAACTGGATGACACTCTTCAGGGACAGGAAGACTATCAGACACCCAAGAAACGTGCAGCTGGCAACTTTGTAGTAGTGCATAAGAAGACAGGCGAAATCCTGATCGTGGAGAAGAGGAAGAAATTAACGAAGGAGGCAGCCAGGTTCTTCTGCGACGTCTGCGCGACCAGCTTCACCAGGAAGAGCTCTCTGAAGAAACATAATCTCTCGCAGTCCCACTTATCGCAAATAGTCAACTCCAAGAAAGAGAAGGAGTCCAATGATAGCAGTGACGAGTCTTCCAATACCGTCTGGAGAAATGAAACGTCGAGTCAGAACGAGGTTCTCAGCGACGGCGGCAGAAACTTCACTAGTGAATCAGTAAATATCTCTGAAGAGTGCAATGACGAAGAAAGAAAGTCCAGTTCTCCAATTGCTGTTACCAGCAACACAGAGGATTTGGATACTGTGCAAAGATTGAACGAGGATGTTCGTACACCATCAGTGGAGGAGGAGCTGTTGATTGATTCTCAAATGAAGCAACGTATATTGGAGGATGAGCTTCTGGACGAAGAGATCTGTAAGATCACTGAGAACATGAGTCATGACGAATACGTACTTACAGAACACACCAGTCTTATACCAGAATGCACTTCAACGCCTATAAAAACGGATGTTATGAAAGAAGATGAGGTGGACAACAAGAAGAAACACGAAAAGAAGAAGGACAAAGGCAAAAAGAAAATCCTGGTTAACGAACTGCCTTTGGACACTTCTGATCCCGAGGCACTCTTAGATTCCCTTTCACTGAATGGTCTGGACACTAATGCATCTTTGAAAATTTCAGAGTCTTCGATTTCAAATATTTTAGACACCTCAATCACTGAAACTCTTCCACTGCCCATCGAGAATGATACGAACAATCTGGAATCGATTGAGAAGGAAGAACAGTTCAACAAGCACCACCTGGACACTGCTGATACCTTCATATTGAACGAAGTTGATAACATGGAGTTAGAACCTGTACAACAGAATGAACAGGAAGAAGAAATACATTGTCCCGCAGTCCAGGAATATAATATAGAGCAACGCTCAGCTGAGAGTGCTGAGAATATCTCAGAAACTGATCAGAATGATCTTACCTCGCAGGATACTCAATCGCATAAACGTCTGAGTCTAAAATTAACCATAACCAAACGTAACGAAGACATTTCTAAACCATCAGACACTAACGGCAACGAATTGGAAATTTCCAAGGACACAGGTGACGCTTACACTTCTGAGCATCACGTAGGAAAAGAGCCCATCGATGACACAGATGCTTTGAAACCTGAAGCTGAGCAACCTGATGAAGACATGCATTTGGATATGGTTAACGACGAGCAGATAAACGATACAAATGAGATGCTCCAAGCAGATGAAAACATTATACAGACAGGTAATTCTACGTTAAGTGATCCGTTCGATCATCAAAGTCTTCCCATGGTTATAGAAAATGTGGAGAACGCTCTAAGTTCGCAAACCGAGTGTACCAAAGCCTCGAGGCACGGCAAGTCGAAGAGAGGCAAAGGTAAAAAGCACACGGAGCAGGCAGACAATTCTCTTAATTCAACCGTTAAGAAAACATCCAAGTCCAAAGATAATCAGAGCAAGTACCTTCACAAGGAGCTCGCGAAACTTCCAGAGACTGTAAACAACCAGGAGTCGTCTGACAGTTTGAAAACTTCGACGCTAGATGAAAGTGAAAACGAGAAACTGGAATTCTCTTTGCCCGAGTCGCGTTTAGAGGAAGAGATGCCCGAGATTCAGCAGTGTATTGACGCAGCAGACAAATCCAACGAGGAGGAGATTCTCGACAGTCGTGAATTTTATCCTGACATGGAAACCCCATCGAAGGAATCATTGGGAAACAATGAAATCTGCGACGAGGAGAATGCAGTTAAGCCTTTCCAGGAAGAAGACGAAGCATCGTCGTCCAGTCTGGATGACAAGCCTTTGTCACAGGTTTTGCTGATGGCAGAAGAAAAGTTCCAGACAGAGAAGAAGCAACAAAAGGAACTAAAGGACCCTGGGGAAGCAACATCTGAGGACACGCCAGAAAACCGTGTTGCTGTTTTGGATAACGTGAAACCACACGTTGACGCCGAGAACTTGGAGCTTGATAACAAGGGTCCAATGAACGCGGACGTGGCAGAACCTGAAATGCCATCTGAAGACGAGTCTGAGGTAATGAAGCCAGCTGAGGACTCTGACAAAGACACGAAGACTTCGTTGGAATACGAGAACACAGAGACAGTTTCCCTGGAAGCAAAGAATATTTCAGAAGACAAGGAAGTCAAGATGAATAATGGTCGCAGATCGAACGCCAGTGAGCGTCAGAATTCGAACAAGAAGATGTCGAAGTCCCACAAGTACAATAAAGATGTCCACCGAAGATCCAAGAACAAGAAGATGTCCCAGAGAACCAAGATCGCTCATCTGACCAGCGAAAGCGAGATCAGCGACGCAGAGGACAAAATGGACTCTCAGAACAAAAATAAAATCGTTAAGAGCGTGTTCGGGAGAGTTTTCGGCGGCGAGAAAACCGATAAGGTTAAGGAAGTGTTGAACGACTGGGTGTCCAAGTCGGAAGGTGACTCGGACACGTCGAGACCTGGCAGTCCGGATAATCTGAAAGTTAAAGAAGCGTCAGAGGCCAAGCACGAGGAGAAGAATAAGAAACATTCGATATCCTCGCATGCTGGTACGAAGAAACGAACAGGCAGGAAATCCAGGAAGAACTCTTCCTCTGACAAGGTCAAGGATGACAACATTACGTCTGAGGACCAGGAGGAGCACCGTTTCAGCAAGCACGGTAGACCAAAGAGCTCTAACAGCAAGAAAAAGAGCGACACAGAAGCATCCAACTACTACTTCCTGGTGCTGCCTCCCACGAGCTGCAGGCCCAGTAAAAAGAGAGCCGAGGAGAGGATCTCCAGAGCTTTCGAGGATGATCCCTTCGATACTTTCGGCAACAGGACTCAGAGGAACAAGCAGAAAGAAGTCAACTACGACTTGAGGAACCAAGGCAAGGATTCGAGTGTCAAGGACAATGGTTATGCACCCTTCAACTATGAAGACGACCCATCGAAGCTGGAGACCTTAGAGGAACCCATAGAAGGGGACCAGAAGCTGACGAGGAAGAGGAAATCATCTGCCTCTAGGAAAAGTAAGAGCAAGACCGATGAGGATGAGTGGAGAGACTCGATGGAGAAGAAAACTGAAAAGAGCACCAAGGGTTCTGAGAATGAGGATGACTGCTCCATTAAGGATATCCCTGAGGGAGACACAATGTCCAATCAATTGTCTGTCGATCTAGACTCTTCCAATAGTTGCAGCAGTCTGGCTCAGAGCAATGGAAGGGACAGGTCTCCCAGTATAGACAGGAATTCTCATACAACCAGGGATTCTGACATCGACGATGAAGAGGACAATGAAGTTGAAATGGGACACAGGAGGATATCTCCTCTGTTTGTCTGTGGGACACCAAGGAGTTCTATAGAGAGCAGTTCCAACAGTGAGAACGAGGAGGAGGATGAGAATGTAGCTGACGGCGAGGTCGCAGCCAGGAAGAGAAGTTCCAGCGAGTTCTCCAGTGAGAAAATAGTCATCAGATCACCCTCTTCCACTCATAAGACTGAAATGGTTACGATTGCACCTACCGATGCCATTGAGGACAATGCGTTGGATGTTCCCCAGGAAATAGAGGCTACGAAACCTAGGCAAGGGAAAGTATTGAACTTTGATGAGGAACTGTTTGTTGAGTGCTGCTCCAGGTTGAAGGCCACCACTGAGAACGAGCTCAGGGGAGCAAAGAAGATCAAGTTAGACCATAACGACGGCTACCATAGGAAGGAGGATCAGCATCTAGGGTTCAGAGGTCCCAGAGATCGGTGGAGGGACGTTGAAAGTCAGAACAGTCTTGGAAGTCTGCTAGAGTCCGTTAATCAGGTGAGTATTTGGATGGAGTGTGTTGAACCTGCATGCTAGACAGTTTGGAGATTTATCGTCGTTCTAGATTCCATAAGACTTTATGGTAAAGAAGATATAGTTGTGTTTGAAAACTGTTGAACTGACGTGAAATTAGTGATTCTAAATACTAGAGGAATAGTTAAATTAAGAAGTGTTTCGTGGAAGTAACTGAAATGTTTTATGTTAACTTGATCATGGTCCCATTGTATTGTCTTAAAAAGAATTGAAAGTTGTTGATGAAATAAAATTGAGAGAGATAATTATTCTTTATACCGTACTAAGAGAGTATCTTTAATTAAAGATTTGACGGTAAGTTGGAAACGTTCCAGCGCATTCTCGCATTCAGGAGCGTTGACTTTTGTTTTGTAAAATTTTCAAAAGTCCACTGTTTCACAATAACACTACATACACATTGCATGCGGTCTTTTTCTGTTTCTTTTTTCTTTTCCTATCTCTTCTCTTCTTCTCATTTTTCTCATTTTTATGCCATTGCTTTATAATCTCACACTGTGTGTGCTCTATGTTTTTGATTATGAAGAAAGCTTTTAATTCTGCAGGTTTCGTTTTCTTTTATACATGCTCATGGAATTTTTATCTGTAGGGGTGTCTTCTGAACAATAATTTCAACCCTCGCGACAAAAAGTGTCTGCGTCTCTGGACTCTTAACTTTTTCAGTTTTGTTGAGGAACATAAAGCGAGTACAAACATGCAATATGGTTGCACATGCATGAGGAAATGCACAATTTCATTTTTCTTTCAAACTAATAGACTTTATCGTTACTGTCACAATTTTTATTCAAATTCTATTGACTTACAATTTTTGTAAAGAATTTTTAATCTTGTCTTTGGAACACTACATGGATAATGTTTAAATAATTAAATGGATTACACCCTTACATGGAGTTCCACAAAGGAAATACTTTATACATTATTGTGATAATGTTTGCAGGACCTATGAACCAGCTTTATACAGACAATGTCTCTCAGTATGCATGCAAAAGGTAGTTCTCTCATTCCTTCGACATTTCTTAGTGTGTACGGTAGTTATGACATTTGTCTGCCATCTCAATGGTGTTGCATAAAATTGTTCAATGACCACACAAATAATTAAGTCTGACCACTACCAAATAATTCTACTTATAGTCTCGATGCGTTTAGTTTGTACTCTTCGATTACAGTTTCATAATTCTATGATTTTCATGCTCATCCCACTGATTTCTTAAATAAAAATATGAAGCTTTCCTTTTTTTCGTAGACAAGAATGTTCAGCTTGGCATTGCTAACCCTCCTCATTAATTTTAACATTACACTCACCAAAATACAGTGTTCTTCCTAGTCTTATCAATCTGTCAGAATATGGGTCTCTTCTTTAAACTACCTTAAAAAGTTCTAGCTATTAATATAAGATAGAATTTACTTAGTTAACATGTATCTGACGATAACGCATTGCAAAGTGGTCCATTTAAGAATACTATGTAAATATCATAAACAGTTTTCGTCGATTCAAGAAACATTAAAGAAATTCTAGTTTTTTCTGTTATTTTCAAAATGGTCCATTTTGTGAATTCAGAGAGTAAAAGCAATACTGAAGATTCTCTGAGTCTTGTTTCAGGGAATGTCAGCTTGCATCAATCAATATTCACAAATTCAACTGCTTTCAGTTACTTGGAGAGGAGATGTACAGCACCAGGGAAAGGGGTTATCAAAAGAGAGGAGGTAGAAATGTAAGAAGTGAACACTCCAGCAGATCAGCCAGCCCAGACATGTCCAGAGCAGATAATCTAGGCTACGAGGATAGTCTAGATGTAGCATTTGAACACAACAACAAGCTCAGAGACAAAATCCAGCAACGTATGAGGGAAAGTGAAAGTCTGATAGCAAGCACTTTCGGCCACAAGAGCGACAACGAGACTGTAGATAACGAACATCCACTGAAAAACACAGAGCACAACGTTTTGAGGAATTCTTACACTCACGTGTCAGATGAAGGCCACCTGACTGTTACCAATCTATCGAATGGTGGTTATAGTGATAATCTACATATCAGATGCCTGCAAGACCAAAATCCTGGAAAATTAAATTTGGATTCTTCAGGGTTCAAGAGCAAAATGAACTCTACGCTAGGTGGTTTGTTGGATAAAGCTTTGTCCAACTTACTCCATAATAATGGAAAACATGATCATAAGTAAGTAATGTCGTTCTCAGATTGAGACTAGTATCTTAAATGTATTTTAAGATCGAATTTTCAGTAGGAGTCTAGAAAATAGTAAAGACATTTTTAAAAAGAATTAGGAATCTGGCTCATTGAATGATATTACAATATTTTGTTACTGGAACCTGTAAATTTCCATGCAAAGTTCAACAAACTAGTACATAAATCTTACAGTCATTTTATGTAACTAACTTTACCGTGTTAATCACAGCATGTATATCTCTTATTGTAAAAAGTACTATTCATACATTTTTTACCCATATCATATACCTTTATATCACATTATTGTTCCTCGTTTGTGTTCAATAAGTCAATAACGCACATCACTGCATCAAGCTGCTATTGTCCGAAAAACTGATGCACATTGAACTGAGATCTCATTTTATTTAGTGAAAGCCACCACAATTTTTTCCAATACGCGAAGTCAATTGTTCTGTTTAAATCAATTTTATTCCAAGCTTGAACCATTTTCCATTCAAATAATAACTGCTCGAAGCCTATAATTGTAAGGAATATAAATTTAATTCTATAATATCCAGATGTATTTTGCCAACAAGTTTATAGCTTCTTTCAATAGACTTTTACATTAGAATTCTCATAGGATTCAGGTTTTTAATGCACCTCATGCAACCAAACTAACAGCCTTTGCTGAATGGTTTCCCATTTAGCTGTGTGTTGATTTAAATCCATTACCCATCCACGACAAGATATCTTCATGTAGTAGTCGTCGCAATACACAATCCCATATTGTTATTTACAAAACATCAATTTAGCTTACAATGGAAATAGGGAATATACGATTCTTCTATACTCAGAGTTTTCCATTGAACTTTGCAGTAGATAACATTTTTACAAAATTACAATATCAAATGAAATAAAATGAAGACGTACAGTCAGATTCCTGTTGCAATGTTCAAGTTCACATTTTAAAAAAAATGGCTGTAAAATGATTGTTATAAGCAAAGTAACTATAGTCTGCTAATCCATGTAATTAAAATGAAAAATTATACTATAATAATTTTATTCCTAGTGGGTCGACACCAATGAAAGTCCTAGCAGAGTTGGCCTGTGCCCGAGCCCCAACATCCACAGCTGGAGACCCAGTTTCCCAGGAAGACATCCAGTCCCCGATAAAAGCATCCTTGTTGAACAAAGAGTCCACCCCAGACTCGATCCCACCGCCACCTATCGCCAAGGATCTCCAGAAAAAGGCCAGAAATCCCATCAAGGAACTCTTTGAGAGGAAGAAGGAGATGAACGAGAGGAAGCAGCAAGAGAAGTCCAAGACAGAGGCTGCACTTCGAGAACTGAATGTGCACAGACAGAGGAAGACCAAGAAGGCCAAGAAGCATCAGGACTTCCCTCTGATTCGTCGCGGCGAGCACGGAGGCCTCGTCGAGAGGAAGAAACGTCGGGACGGCTTTGAAAGGAAAGAGGAATTCGTGTCGGACAGGATAAAGGACGTGTACGAGTTCGACGAGGACGAGAGTCAAATGGAATCTAATCTGGGTGGCGTGATGTCCTACAGAAGCAGGCCAGGCTACGAAGTGAGTTGCTTGAGGACTAAGGAGGTGGATGTAGCTGGGTTGATGTCCAAAGCTATCGGTGAGAGCCTGGAGAACGGAGAAGGCGACGCGTTGAGCTCCAGGTTGGAATCGATGATCGACAGGAAGTTCAAGGAACTCGAGAAGTTCGCTCCCAAGACCAAAGGCGCGCTGAAGTCTTTCCAAAGTGAGGAGCAACAGCGACAGGTCACCGGTCCCATGGACGAGTTCGTCGAGAGGAAACAGCAGAAACCAAAAAGGATTGTGGAGCAGGGTTTGAAGCACTCGAAGCTGAAGAGGCGCAGCAAGAATCCCAAGAAGCGGACCAGGAACGCCTGGTACGAGAACGACAGCTCTGACGAGTACAGGACTGCGGTGAAAGCTGAAGATGTCGGTGTAGGTATCTCGAAGAGCCAAAGAACCTGCTCGAAGGGGAAACAGAACATCTTCGCGGAGTTGTACACTTCGTCTGAAAGTGAATTCGACGACGAGGACGTTGATTACGAGACGAAGAAGCAGAGGAAAGCAAAGAAAGGTGCGAAGAAAGTGATAGATTTGGCAAACATAGGACAGAACCAGGAAATGATTGAGAAGTACTGTTCAGAGAACGAGGAGGACGAATGGAGGGATCAGAGCTTGAGGGATGACGACCATCATAGCAAGAATGACTGTGACAATAAGAAATCTGAGTCGGAAATGTCGGATCAACCTTTGGTCATCGATGAAAGGAAGGATTCTGACGAGCAGAGGAACAGCGACGAAGAAACTGAGACTCAGTACGACAGAAACTTCGAGTTGGACGACTTGTACAGAGAAGACAGTTCTGTAGCTGACTCGGATGTTGACGAGCCAACGATTACGGAAGCCCAGACTGTCCTGGAGGAATCTAAACCCAAGAGCCCGAGTCCGTCTGAAGAGAAAGCGAACGACAAGGTCGACTATACGCAGGAAAACGAATTGATTCCACTAGAAGAGGCCTTGGACCTTCTGGACCAGGCTGATCGTAATCTAGAACAGAACTATGACAATGTGAACAAAGATGTAGAACCGGTAGAGCAAATTAATCCTGTGACATCGGCAGAACCTGCAAACGGACAGTTTGTTCCAGTCCAAGAAGCCACAGTGAAGAGTCCCAGCCCTGTGGAGGAACAGGAACAGGAAGAGGAAGCTGACGACGACGCTCTAGTTTTACCAGAGAAGCTGTCAACCAACGAGAAACCGCAGAAGGAGTCCGAGAACCTTCCCCTTCACGTGTTCCTCAGCAGAAAGGTGCAGGAGTCGAAGAAAAGGAAAGAGCAACAATTGAAGAAGATACAGGAGGAGCAAGAGAGGATTCTGATGGACTTCCAGCCTACCAGAAGACAAAGGAAGTGCGCTATCGGCAAGCAAGGACTGCTGGCAGAAATAAGCAGCTCCGACGAAGAGATGAGCATGAAGGACAGCAAGAAGTCCAGCGACAAGTCCGACCACGAGAAGCCGCGCAAACAGAAACGGGAATCCAAGGAGAAGCGCAAGGAGAGGTACATAGAAAAGAAGCACGAACAAATGATAGCGAAGGAACAGAAGGCTATAGAAGAGGAGATCTTGAGGGAACTCGGGAAAAAGAAGGAATCACTCGGACAGAACACTGACGTCAGAGCAGACCTCAATGACAAGAAAGAGTCGAAGGACCCAGAGACAGAGAACAAAGTGGTACCGGAGCAAGTGCAGAAGAAGAAGCACCAAGCGAAAGAGAAGCAGAAGAAGCTGAACAAGGCAGAGGTAGACCTGAGCACCAAGAAGAGCACCGAAGAACTCAGCGACGTTGAGAACAATTGCAACAAGTCTGCTCACACGGAGAGCAATCAGGAAGGTGACAAGCTAGAGTCTCCCAGCAAGCAGAAGAAACACTCGAAATCGCCAGTGAAACCCAAGAAGACTCCAAAGGGCGAGGCCAAGGTCACCGTGAGTGGCAAGAAGGGTAAAAATTCCAGTTCCGACAAGTCCAAGGGTAAGACGGACGCCAAGAGTTCAAAGGACAAGGAGCGTAGATCTTTGAGTGGCAGAAGGGATTCGGACGATGAAGAACTGAAGACGACGAAGTCCTGGAACAAAGTCGAGGAGGGTGTCGGGGTGGCGATTGGCCGACGAAAACGCGCCGCTGCCAATCAGTTGTATTACTGGTCCAGTTCGAGCGACGAGGAAGAAATACTGGAAGTAGTTCCTGCAGTGGAGGAGGAGGAAGACGACCGGCAAGAGCAGCACGGCTGGATCGTCGGGGATTCCCATAAAAGGATGATAACCATGTTGGCCATGGAGAAACAGTTGAAGGAGAAACGGAGGAGAAGCGAGGACGAGTTCGAACCTGGCAAAGCGAAGAGCAAGAAGCACAGAAACAGCACCTCTTGATACGTGTTTCACGATTAGGTTCGTTTCAAATGATTCAAACTACTGAAGAACGTTTAGTTACTTTTTTAAATTCAGGAACACACGTGGGTCTTCGGTAGACGGTGGCCTGCTAGCTATGAAATTTAATGGTGACGCACGCTCTGTGAGAGAGGACACATGGTTCTTTCCTAAAGAGACGAAATAAATCAAAGAACTGCACGCCAGGAGTCTAGATGAAAATAAAATAGATGAGAGACTTTTCTAATAAGAAGTAGCGTAACTAGGTCTTTTGATACTAGTCTTAGGTACATGAAGGTAACCGAAGGAATTTTCAGTTCATCGAATTAGATGAATGTGTTGCTACGCAGGCAACAGATCAGCAAGATTCGCTGGCGAGAGGGAGCTACAAAAGGGAAGAGTTTTTAGCCAGTTCGTATTCGATAGAGCGACAGAATTAGCTAATTAGGGGATGAACTGTGTTTTAGAGGAAGAAGATGAATCTGAATAGTTTTCCTCGTATCCCTTTTCCGAGTATGGAAAAGGATGCTTTCGCGTGAATTTAGTTTCCTTTTTTGTTTTTCGTTTTAAACCGTTCGTCGATTTACGACGGATCCATCTTACTTGTAGGGACGTGGCGCTTAAATCGTTAACAATCGACGCTTAATTGTTCTATCGAACGATGAACAAAACGCAACGTACTGCCAAGGAAAAGATTCTACTTGTTTCGTTCGTGCATCGTAGCAAGAAATGTTTATTTTCCTCTTTTTTTCTCTTTCTTTTTCGTTCTTTCTTTCTTTTTTTTCTTTTTTTTAAGTAAGAAGGGAAACCCTAAGCGAAGGTTAGACTAGAAACTTGTACATAGCAGCTTGGCGTTCACGTTAAAGGGCAAGCTCGTATTACGTTAAGGAATAATTATGATTCCAAGCTCTTATAAATATTATAAATATTACGTAACGTTAGACTGAATGTGAGAAATAGCGGAATTAATTAAAAGAGAAACCGAAAAAAAAGTTGTACGAAAAAAAGAGCACCTTTAGACAATACCTAGGAGACGTTTGT